TTAGTCGATTGATTTATAAATGACAGAAGGTTTGTTAAAACTTGAACATCTTTCATTGATCAATTGAGCTTAAAAAAAAACCTAAAATTCAAAATGCCACACATACAAATGAATTGACTATATATGTTAAATCAAACTTCTATTTGAAGTGTTTGAGATAACACTAAAATGTTTATCTATACTGTTAAAAATGAATGCTTTAATTATATAAACGATAGTTGATTTTATAATTAAAAGATAATGAAGCATTAGAACATTAAAATATCGAATTTGGTAACTACCGTAAATCAATTCATATTTATAACAATTGAGTATGAAAAGTGTATATTCTAATTGATCTGTCTGATATTAAGTTTATAGTTTAGTAATAATCAAAGTTCGATTATCAATAATAAATGGATACAGTAATAAGTTCTCAAACTGAAATGAAAAGTTGAATATTTATTTTACAATCTATATAGAATAATGAAGTCATATATCATAGAGAGAAACCTTTCAAAATATCAGTTAGAAAAAATATGTTACTAATGAAAAAATGTTCTATTCGCATATTTAAGTAATATGTATTAATTCTAGTGCTTCTAATCGAAATGTATATCATTGTTATCTTGAACTTTTTTATATTTTCAATATTCGATACTTAATCAGACTTCTATTTTGATATATAGTATTATTTATTAATTTTAGTATATGAATTATTAATCATATAATTGGTTATTAATTTTGTGATAGAAAATAAAACATATCGTATATGATACATTAAGTTTAAACAATGATGAACACAATTAATATATTGTTCTTAAAAAACACTTTAAGCTGTGATTAAAAATAGTTTGTCAGTAAATAAATTTTCTATCATTAGTACAAAATAAAGTCTTTGAATAATAGATTATTGTTCGAATATACTTATATATATATAGTTATTCTATAGACATTGTCTTTACCTGCAAAAACATCATAGTCGACCTTTTTCTTTTCTAATAACAGTCAGTCAATCAATCATCATCATATCTTTGTTTACATTTGATTCAGACAAAGTTAACATACGACTCAGATATAATTTCAAGTTGAGCATGACTAATGTAAAGGATCCTTTTCTTTTGTTTGTCAAGGTTTATAATTAGAAATATATAATGAGTATAGAAGGTGCATTCATTATTAAAAAAAAAAAAAAGAGAAAAACCTTAGTAGCCATTTTAATTTACAACTATATAATCATCTTCACATGCTAAAAAAAGAAAAAAAGTCTTTTCTCAGCATATTCTATTTTTTTGTGGGTGATTGTCGAAATTGTATAATGTTTCTTTTGTATAAAAAAAAAAAAAAAAAATTACATGTTGTGACAAGGACACATAACTGAATACCACTCTACATTTCCGACAATTTCAATGAATATAAATAAATATACAGAAAAATAGTTTCAACTGTTTAGTAACAAGAACTATAATTTTTTGTTAAGTATACTTGGCAAAAGACAGATTAGGCAATGACAGATAAACAGATTTGTCCAACCATCGATAATAGGACATTTCTATTAAATAAAAGACAAATATAGATCAATAACTGACCAAGAAGTTATTTCTTTGAAAAAATCTTTTTCAATCAAAATTTATTCTTGCTAAAATCGAATACTTAATACCCAGTTTTTGTTTTTTTTAATATATTCAATATATTTCAGTTGTATCTCTAATTATTGTACACAATAGAGATTATAAATCAATAACTATTTCTCATATTGCTTATGGAAGAAAGTTCTATATATTTATCTAATCATATTCAGTGTTACACTAATTGTTAGTCAGTATAACATATTTTTGTTTATCTATAACTAATTTATTCATGTGTGTGTATTATGAATAATATTATGAAATTTGTTTTCGATTATCGAACAAAACATACTACACCATCTTGCTGATTTGTTAACTCTTCCACTTGACAAGATACATAAACAATATATATATATATATATATATATACAGAATAGTTAAAAATCAAATTTGAATGTTGAACATTTTAATTTGTGAAAATGAACCTTAAACTAATGACCGATCATTTTGAATCATTATCAGGCTTGAGAGAATATAACACCTGTGACTACATATAGCTGAGAATCACTGTATGAAAATTTATTTTATTCTGCTTATATAAGCCTCAAATGTGTGACTGTGTGTATTTAATAAAACTATTTAATAATGAATGAACAAGAAGCCATCACTTTTATGAGACTAGAAGTAAGTAAATGGTTGGCCTTGATATCGATTTTTTTTTTTCAATGACAAAATCATGTCGTTATTTTTTTGTTTGCCTTGTACGATGGCCACTTGGTGGAAAAAAAATATATATTTCGTAGGTAATACCAGATAAGATGTGTTTCTCACATATTTCGATGTGTAACGTTAATTATTCATTCAACTTTTAATTTTGTACAAAATACAATACATATAGACTACATGCTGTTTTAATGATAAGCACATCATTATACGATTTTAATCATTGTCATAGATGATTTCTTAACCGTTCATATACAACAACATTATCATGATTATTGATCATGATGCCTTTATCATTCATACGTTTTCACGTAGATGAATTCATGACACCTGCACTTACTGGTTAAAATCAATTAATCACATTTCATTTCTGACATATCCTCTAGATTTTTTCTTTCTCTTTTTGTACAGTAACACGTTATTTTTATAGAAGAAAAAAAAACCTGTAAGACCTATACTACCGATAATGATTTACGAAATAATCTTTCTAGTAAATATTGTTCTGATTTCTCTGTTTCTCTCTATTCTTGATACATTTTTGTGTATGCAATGACATTATGTATGTATACATATCGATCAATTGTTATTTCCTAATTCGAATAGAAGGAAGAAAAGCGAATGAAAGAATCAATGTTCGTAGTTGAACCTGTTGATATAGGCACACGTAACGATAACAATTCAAATAACAGGAAATAAATGTAAAAAAAAGAAATGTATGAATATGTCAGTATAAATAAGTTATATAATTGTTCTTTTTTTTTTTTTTTACACTTTCTTTTGCCATTGTCTATGCACTCACACATATTGTACAAAAGAGATATATATGTGTATAGAAGAAGAAAAAAAACGAAGCAAAATACATGTACGCGAATGAAAAAGAAAAAGAAAACGAGAGAAAAATTAACGCTTTGAATTTCTTTCGATATATATATATTCACCGTTCATAACTTCTATTCTCCCAGTAGCTATATGTATATACGTACATTAAAACAATCCAACAGAGGTTTTAGTTCCATACATGAATTTTCTTTCTTATACTTGTTGATCTTTAATAGTTAAAAAGATTTCAAAGTACACACGAAGACAAAAGGTGAGTAAAATGTCAAAAATGCCAGAATCCACTTGCAGAAAAGTCAAGTATAAAAATTTGTAATGCACATGAGGAGTTAGAGAAAAGGATTCGAATTCAGAAAGGTAAGGATAACTGATGAGGTATTTTCAGAAAATAGAAAAGAAAAGTTGTTTTTTTTTTTTCATTTTTAGTTATAAAATACTATTTTTTTGTCTCTAGTAAAAAAAATAAATCCTTTTGATTCTCAAAATATTGTTATTACAAAATGAATAAGGATTAATCAATTAATCTGTTTTGTAATATTTTACTCAAGCATAATTTTCAATGGTAGAAAGCCGTATTTAACAGTTGTAAATGTCAAAACGCTTTTTCGTTTTATAATATATCTTTTTTTCTATAATCTAGAGGATTAAATCTATTACCGTTTTATTAAATTGTTTTTATCTTCATTGAATTGAAAATTTACAAAATAACATTTGTACAAATTGTACGATTGTTGAAGGTTCAACAACTCTGATCTCAGTTTTCAATGAGAGTAAGTTAGACTAAGTCAAAATTATAAATATCACTAAAGTTATTAAACAATTTCTCTCTCACTTGTATCTCATTTAAATGTGTCAATATTTGGTTGTAAGTCTATCGAAAATTAATCACGTCAAATTCTATTAGACTTTTTAACAGTTATAGCAATATCATTTCTTTTCTTTCTGTTGTATATATATAGAGAGAGAGATCTGTATGGATGTAATTCAGTTCAGATATCAACATCTGTAACAAAGAGAAAATGTTCACATTTTATAGTCTAAAGCCAATATAACCTGTTAATCGAAGTTCTTATCTGGTCAGATCAACATATTGAACAGACCAATTGTTTGATCAATATAACTTTCTTTTTCTTAAAAAATATTGACCTTAACTCGGGATACGCGCACATATATATTAGATAATCGTTCGAATCACTGACATATATATTATGTGAAAATATTGGTGAATGTCATGGTAGATTATAAGTGGGTAAAAGATTAATATTTATTTACTGGGCATGAATTCTAATTTTTTCAAGAGAGTTTAAATATCGAAAATGGCTAGACAAAAATTGGCCTTCCGTTTTAAGAAAGAAGAAAGAGAAATGGGAGAGAAAGAATAGTTAGTACAATATGAGTTAAATTCCGTAAGAAAACATAGACACATTTCCGTATGAAAACATAGTACAAATTATTGAACTATAATCTGACAGGATAATCCGTTCTATTCGATGAAAATACGATTTAAATAATTAAACAATTGATAAAAGATATATGGCGCTTAAACTGCCTACGGCAGTGTTAAGGTACCATTTTAAGTTTATATTTTAATCGCTCAACGGAATAAAAACTGTTACATAATTTCTTATACTAAAATGAGCAAATAAAACGACTTTGATGTTGTTAATATAAAAAAGTTGATATACTTGAAAAAGACTTTGAAATATTCTATGCCAGCAGTCTTTCACAAATCTGTTTTTTTTTTCAGATTTTTCTCATATGAATGGTCTATATAGACGTCTTGATTATTATTGTAGTTATCTCTAATTGTCTTATTTTGTTTGTTTACTTTAGATGACAATACGTCTATAAACCATTAAAACTTTCTACAAATCATATGTTTACATCTTAATCATGTTTAGTCAATTAACTCGTACCGTTTATCATGCACATCGATCACCACACGAAAATGTGAAAAATAATCATTATTCTTATCAACAACCAAAATCATCAACACCTAAACAGTGTACAACGAATGATTCTTGTTCACCATTTCTAGTTCGTAAAATCCAATCAACTCCATCACATGAACATCCGCATACTATGAAAATGTCTCGTAGTGAAATACCAACAACAACTACACATGAACTAAAAAAACTTTTAGACGAAAAAAGTCAAACAATTGTTGATTTACGATTATTTATCGATGAATTAGAACAACGTTTTAATCGTAAAGAAAAAGAATTATTAAAACGTATTAACGTATTGTACAATGAATTACAATATAAATCAAAAAAATTACAACATATCATATATAAGCACTCAACACTAAAATATGCCAGAAAGGTAAGAATCATAAGAATAAGATCAATTAAAGTTCGTGTTAAAAGTTCATGTGAACTATAATTATAAATAATTATCATAATGATAATTACAGTAACCTTGGGGTGAAAACGATTAGTCGATGAATGCAATTTATCGATTACCATCATTTGATAACCAACATATTTTCATCTAATAGTTAACTTGAAAATGACTCAGATATGAGTCAATTTTGTTAACCTCTTCGTTTTACATTATTCTACATATAAACTAAAAATAAGATTAACATTGATAATGTTGTGACTGTTATAATCACTTCAAAGAGGTAATGAAAATATTTGATTTGAAACAGAGTCACATGCTGTTCAACTAAATTGAACTACTGTCAGTATGTTGTTCTCACTCTCTTCTTCCATTTCAAACAATAATTCTTGAAAAATAGAATTGTATATGTAAATTGTTAATATTCACTCATGCAAGATTTTTTTTATCGATAATCTTTTAAACATGAACCATTCGTTCATATCAAACGATAAACTGTAACAAATTTTTTCAAAGACAAAAAGCTTGATCAAATCATACACAGCAGGAAACGTTTGTTAATCTTACAATTCATTCTCTTCTAATTTTAAATACATTTCAATCATCTCAACGAGTATATGAATGCTTTACACACCGAAGAATGACACTTTTTAATAAGATTAACAGTGTGAGATAAATATCATTCACAAAATTCTTATTTCTTTTCTAAAACTTAATGTTCCATTACTTGTTTAATTGAAAAATAGTCGTATTTCAGTTGTTGACCCGTGCAGTACATGTTATATAGAGTGAATCAGAAATCCTGAAGCACTTTTTGATTAAATTTTTATCCATAATGACTGGCGTTTAAAAATTCAATATATAACTCAAAAGATAGAGAATTTAATTCTTTAGAAAACGGCTGATTTTGTTTCTTCTGGAATTAATTTTGAATCGTCGGTGTAGTAATAAAAATATTAAAATGATCCGTTATGAAAACTTATCACCAACCGAATACTTAGCATTCTTCTTAGCGTATTTGACTAAAAAAGATTTAATTATAAAATAAAATACAATACATCATTAAATTCAGTGCTAAATTCTGTACAAAATTCTATACTTACTTTATATGGCAAAGAAAAATTCTTCTTAGTCAAGGTGACTCCCAGAAGAGTTTTTCATAAACGTTTTTTTAGAAGTCTAGGAGAATCCATTTTTCGTAGCATCTAATATTGTTTTCTACTTTCAAAATTAAATTTATAATTTTATTTTCTGGGGTATGTGATCTTGTAAAGTGAGAAATTCTGTATACATCGGCGGGCCAGGGTCATCTTTTTTAGTGTGGCAAAATTATTAAAAAGTGTAAGAAACTTCTAAAAAAAATAGTCGTACAGGAAAACCCATAACGAATAAAAGTTTTTGGTGTGGCAACTGCCACACTTTGCCACAATGGTGGCCCACCACTGTTCTCATATAAAACATATGGCTTTAAATTTTGAGTTTGAGAGCAAAATACCGATAATATGGATTTTGTATGTAAGTTAGTCAGTTTAGGGCTTTCTTTCTCACAAAAAAAGAATAATCATTTAACACAAATACTGCCAGAGTGTACAGCGTATAATTCTACGCCTTTTGACTTTAAAATAATTATTTCAAAATTGAATTGACAGATTCATAAAAGAAGTTAAAGTTAATTCTGTGTTGTTTACAAATTAGAATATTTTAATCTTGTAAAATTTCAAAAATAATTTTAGAAAGAAAATCGGTCGTTTTCTAAAGAATTTACTTCTCTATCTTTTGAGCTAAATATTAAATTTTTAAAACGCCCGTTAATACGGATAGAAGTTTAATAGAAAAGTATTTCAGGACTTTTGACTCACCCTATACGGAGAAAGGAAATGGTAACAGTGAAAGCATTAAATGTAACAAATGAAACTTTTTAGAATGAAGATTGACTTCTTAAATGTCTTCAATGAAATCTTGATAAGAAGAATTGACAAATAGTCAAAATGGTGACATTTCTTTTATTATAGTTATATCAAATTCTTTATAATTTTTAAATCACCGTTTTGTTTTATACACTTGTTTGCATGTAATTGAGAATATATTCATACTTAGAATGACTTCGAAATTTTTTCTTCTTCTTTCTCTTATACGTAGTTATTCGAGCAAGAGTCTGTAATGATGTATATATGAACTTATATCTAATGGTTATGACTATTACATACAAAAAAAAATTATAAAAGAAATTTTTTTCACTTTAGATTTTGAAGAACTTTACTGTTAAGTTCTTGAAGAGGATATAAAAAGTTTTACTCAATAGTCTCAATTTGTTATTTTTATGAAATAAGACAGAGAAATATTTCTTTCTGTTTATCTCTCATATCTAAACTTTTCTTAATGATATCTCTATGTGGTAGGATGTTGGAAATACAAAGAAAATTAATAAATGCTGATTGAGACTCTCATCCAGCTGAGATAGAAAATAATAGAAAACGTATTTATCATGTGGTTGAACAACAAATAACTTATTCATAATGATTATATCTCTTGCTTACATCTTACTTCAAATATGATTGGTATGCTTATGCAAGAGATAGTCACATGTCTAAAAAGCATTAGGCTGCATTGTTATTTATGGTCCAGGTGAGTAGGAGTGAAAAAAAGAGATATTTTATAAGGCTTTAGTTATTCTGAGAAAATTTTTGTAAACCTGTGTTCTATTGATCTCTATTTTACTAGTTGGAAGGTTTTATTAGATAAGATCAAAAAAAAAAAAGATTAGATGTGCTTTGTCTTCTTTTTACTATATAATAAAAGTTAGTTGAGCTGTATGTGTTCATTATGAATCTGGGCTCAATACATGACTTTTAAACAATTCGATTCGATATTTTTTGATTCTCTCCATAAATTTTACATAAATGGTTACGAATACTAATCGGTTAACGTTTGAGTCTGTTAACTTAAATTGTTACTAGACTAAAGCCCAAATCAATTTCGTACAGGATTGCATTATCTGTTATAACTGTGACTATTGTCTGTCTATTAACTATTTTTCAAAGAAATCAGTAAATCTTTTGATTATAAGAACGTTTCTAATACACTCTTTATATATATGTGTCTAATACGCTTCTGCTAAGCGAATTAATAGTCATTGATAATGTTTATTTGTTTAAAAGTACCAACATTGACATCGTGAGTTAGGAGATTTGAAGGGATTAAGAAAATGTCGTTTACCTTGTTCTGTTTTGTATCTTGGCTACAGAAAAATTCTAACCATTCAACTTAAATAAAACTGCATACTTTTATAGAATTTTCTTTTACAGAATGAAATCTGTTAGATTTTTTAAAGAACTTAACAAAATCATTGTTAATAAAGCAATAGTGTATGTGTATGATCGTTGAGCTTTTGACTTGAAGGAGCGACAGTATGCCCGGAGAAAAGATTGATTTAAAGATGTAAATATTTTTCTAACTATATAGATTAAGAAAATCAGATTTAAACTGTATGCTACTTCTGACACATACAACAGATCTAGTAAATAGTAACTCTCAAAATCGAATTATTTAAAAGTCAATTTTTTCTATTTCATTTCTAATATTATAATTTCAACATATATTTCGTAATCGAACTACTGTATATTTTTGAATATCAAGTGCTATTGTGTGTACTTGACTGAAGATTTCGATGATATTAATAAACTTGACCATGATGGAAGTTGTTGAGATTATTGTGTATTGTCGTCGCACTATATAAATAAATGATGTATGTGACACTAACAGATAGGTATCGATACACTGTCATGTTGACTCTGATTTTTTTTCCATTTCAAGTGTATCTATAGACATGAGTATAAAATAAACAGGTATATTTTATATGAAAGTAAACTCATCATTTCGTTTGGATAGAAGTAAACAAAAAAGTTGTTATTATAAGTAAGCAGTTGTGTGTGTGTGTGTGTGTACAATGGGATATATGAGAACAAAAATATGTCACACTAAATTATTTAAATGAATGAACTAGAGTCTATAGATATATTAATAAGCAGATACAACATGTATTTAATTCAAACTGTTTATTTTCTCATGGTGTTCACGATTTTTGAAAACAAAAAGTCAACTAAATAATAATAATAATAATAATAATAATCTTTTTTCTTTTTTTTTTATCTCTGATTAATTAATAATCATTCAATAGTCAAGATCTACTTTCGTTCTGTTTACATTCAATTTCTATAGTTCATACGCGTATAAATTCGTTGAGTGCATTTTAATGTTCTTATTGAAGCAATATTGTTCAATTAAAGTTTTCAATTGATTCTTATATAGTCTTATTTGAAGAGCTAATATAAATATACCTTAGCCAGAGGCTTTGTAGCATCGTCTGAGTAGTTTACAGTATTATATTGAAAAATGAAACTAGTGTAAAAAGGCATTGTCTGAGTTAAAGTATTGTCACTTTAATGTTTAATGGTTGAATGATGTATTCGTGATCACACGTGTCAAGTATAGAAGATAGAAAGTGAATTTTTAATATTTTTTCTGATTTTAGCTTGAAAGTAATACTCAAGATGGATCTGAAATTCAATCATTATTACAAAAACAGCAAACGTACATTCAACCAATAACAAATACTACAAGCAAATGTGTACAAACAGATGAAATGTAAGTATATGTTTCTTCTATAATTCTAAATAATTTTAACATTGTTTTTCAAACATTTTTTTTAGTGAGAGTAAAATTATATTTTGTGAAAATTGTCAAACTTCACTTTGTGTAAATGAAAAAACAATAGTCAAATATTCACCAACACTCCAAATTGTGTTAGAAAAAAAAGATGTACAAGTTAATGATTTTCAACAAGAATCTCCTGTCGAACACATCGAGGTAAATATATAATATATTGACTGTTATATAGATTAATTTTGATTTTTTTTATATGTAGGAAGATCCAAAATATTATGTATTACAATCTGATTATTGTGAACAACATGTTAGTCCCGTTACATTAGATGAATCTGTCAAATCTCCTGTATCAACAACTGATCGTTCTTTATCCTCTACACATTCATCAACATCAACATCATCTAATCCACAAAAACAAAATGAAAGTAGTTCAAGTGCCTATAATACGGCTGAAAGTTTACAAAGTTTTTATTCGGATGAAATTGAAAATTTGGAACGTGTTTTAAATGCATCATCAGTTATGTATACTCGACCATCAAATTTACAACATACAATTGCATTACAAGAAGAATTATTTCGTCAACGTTTACGTTTACGTGGTATTCATTTGACTGAAACAGATTCTCCTGATCAACAACAACAAAATATAGATGAAAAAAGTGATCATATTTATGATAATATTGAAAGTTCAAAAGAAAGTGATAGTAGTGATATTGAACAACATTTTATATTACATCCACCGCAACGAAAACGTTCAAATACAGACTATTATAGTTTAAATAAACGTCGTTTAAGACATTATAATTGGCAATCAAAATATATGGTAAAAAAATCAAATATTATAAGAAGAAATAATAGTACGAATGTGAAGGGATATGTTCCCAGTAATGAAAATTGCAAACAAAATGACAGAAAGATAAATGAAGATGACTATGTAAAATCAAATTCAAAAAATATTTCACAGAAGATGAAGAAAAATTTTGTTAAATCGAAATATGGAATGATGAAAAATATAAATGAACCATTATTGACTGTGACAATTACCTGATCATATGTTCGATTAAACTTTTATAATGTTCAGTTACGTGTTTATAAATTAAACTTTTGTTCTTAGAGAAATAAATGATAATAGAATATCTGGTAGCGTGTTCATAGGCGCGATTATCATTTGATCACTTGACTGTGAGGGACCGATTTAGTGAAAATCTTTCTTCACTCAGCTCTTTCAACTTTTTATCATGTGTTTCATTTCTTTTCATGGAAAAGAAATGAAAACCATTTGGCTAAGGATTTTCCCTATACGAAAAGTTTGGATTTATGTTGAAGACCAATAAGAAGTCTAGAAAACGGTTTTATAGGAAGCTACGGAATTTCTATCATAGTAATTGGTACACTTTTCTGATGGAGTGAACGCCCATCATTTGTTGTTCTTTCAAAGGCAACGCTTTACCAAAACAGAATTATATTTAACTGCAAAAAATCAGGCAAATCTACCAGGTTTCATAGACACCTCTGGGCCTATATCTGTGTGTTATCGTATTACTTGCTGCACAATAATTCTGTTTGTGAAAATTGTGAACTTTCCCCGACTCCCATAGCTGAAGATGATTGAGAAACGCTTTTCTTATAATGAAAAACACTCATAACAATATAAGAATAGAATTATGTACAAAAATAGTTATCGTAAAATCAAAATACTTTTCGATCTGGAATTGTCCGCTTTCTAAAATAAAACGGCACACTTATGAAAGAAACAATGTCAACAGAGATCGTACCTTAAGATATCGTCAATTGTTTCATCTTTTTGATAAAATTCTTTCCGTAATTCGTACAGCTGTAAAAGAAAACATGACCATTTTCGACCTTTGTATTCTGCAATGTGTTTTTATCCTTACCTGTGCTTCAATTTCATCTTTATTGCTACGAAATTCTTTCGTCGTTGGCTGAGGTAATAGTTGACTTGGAGAAGAAAAAATATATTGTTGTTGCTGCTGTTGATAGGAAGGTTGCTGCCTTCCATCTACTTCCATTGATCTCAAACGATCTTCTTGTAATTCACGTTCTTTTTTACTTAATTCTTCTTGAGCAATTTGTACCTAAATAAAAAGGATAACAACAAATGAAGAGTAGCCCATGTTAGAAAAATTTACATACTTTGACACGATTAAATAATTCTTCTAATAAACGCATTGATTCTAATTTTCGTTTTGCAATCAGTATTTTTCGTTCTTCCATGGCAATTTTCATCGACAATGTGCGTTCTTCGTGTAAACGTTTACGTTCAAGTCGTTTTAATCGACGTTTGTCCTCGCTAGAAAGAATACACACATGTTCATTGACTCCATAACATAAAATTCTTAAAAACATACCGCTGACGCCGTCTAGAATCTTTCGTTATGTCTTTCACACCAGGAAAATCATCCGCTTCCGCATCTTGTAGTTCAATTTTCAACCTAAAAGAAGAAGACATTAGGTTTTTTAAGCATTTTACTTCTTTACAGGATTGTTTATTTTGTGTTGTTAAATACTCCTTTTTCTTCTACAATTTATTGTCAATCGATGTTTCGGTTTGGTAAAGCGTTTACCAAGGTAAGGTAGAAGTGATGCATAATAAAAACAACATTAAAATGAACAAGACTGATATAAAATACTAAAAATGGGATGACACCTAAAAACAAATTTTATACCATTCTTGTTCATTTTAACGGGTGAGCCAGAATAAATGAGCCTCTTAGTATTTTGTCGATAACTTTTTCATCTATATTCGAACTAAATTTTTTTAAAAAGATTCATGTTTTGATTCTCTACAAAACCGTAGACAGGTTTGTATTATAGGAATAAAAGTAAAAAGCTCATTATTGAAACACTGATGACAGAGAACATTAGCAAGTTTCAAGCACAACTATCCAAATTGATTTTCGGTCTCTTTCTGCAATACAATTTGTACATTAGGATTTTGTTATTAAAATTTTTAAACATGCTAATAAGATAGAGTTTTTTAAGCTCTGCCAAATGGCTTACGCAGTTTTTCTATATCTCCACATGACAATCTGTAAATCCCAAAAAACTGAGTTTTGTGCGTGAAAGTTGCTGATGTTCTCTGTTGTCAGTATTTCGATAATAACTTTTTTACTTTTATCCCTATAATACAAATCTGTCTACGGTTTTGTCTAGAATCAAAACATGAATCTTTTAAAAAAAGTCCGAATAGATAAAAAAGTTATTGACAAAATACTGAGAAACTCATTTATTCTGGCCCATCCATTAAAATGAGCAAGAATGGTATAGGATACTAAAAATGGGATTACATCTAAAAATAATAAACGGAGAAAATGCAGGCACAAATGTAAAATCGATATTGAAGGTGAGCTAACTAACATAATTTGCTGCTTTTCTAGCTCAAAGATTATGCATGACTCAAACAAGTAGCGTCGTAAGAGGCTAGAATCCGTTTACATATTGGTAAACGAAGGTTACAATAACAAATTAGTATTGCGGAGCAGTGGACCCTGACTACTTAAAAATGGGTAGACACTAATACGAGATCTTTTAGAGGTATCATGCCGCCAAATCCCCATAATCTTCGAGCTAGAAAAGCATCAAATTATGTTAGTTAGCTCACCTTTAATATTGATTTTATATTTGTGCTTGCATTTTCTTCGCTTATGATTTTTAGATGTAATCCCATTTTCAGTATTTTATACCAGTCTTGTTCATTTTAATATTGTTTTTATTATGTATCACTTCTATCTTACCATGATAAACGCTTTACTAAACCGAAACGTCGGCCGACAATAAATTGTAGGAGAAAAAGGAGTATTTAACGACACAAAATAACACATTATTAATACACAATTAAGACTTTCAATAAATTTGATACCTTTCAATCTCTTTTTTTCTCTCTTCTTCATCTTTTTGTCTTTGCGCCTCGGCTCGTGTTAATTTGATCATTTCCATGGCCTTCATTTGTTCAATTCGACGTTTTTTTATCATACGATCTGATAAATGTCTTGTACGATCAAAATCAACCTGAAAATAATCGAAATACACTCTAATCCCATTATGTGTTATATATATAAATACAGTCTCATTTTCTAAGCATCAATAACTAATCCCAGCGTTAATTCGACAGGATAAGTATATTTCATTTTAACGGGAATGATAACATGATGTTTAACAAATTGACGGGTGATACAGATCGCTGTATCAGATAAAAAATAGATAGATAACATACGGTATAGATCATGTACGAGTTTTAATTATGAATTATTCCTTACTTTTATAGAGGCTGTATATGCCACGTTATTATCTTCAATGTGCATTAATTTCATATTACGAAATGCATCCATAGCTTTGACAAAGCTGATATATTCACTGTATTGTATAAATGCATCGAATGTTGTGTCTTGTGTCATTATTTGTTGATTATCTATTCCAAATCGATATGGATCAAGAGATGGTATATCACAACAACGAATTTCACCAAATGTGGAAAATACTTGTTGTAATATTTCTAATGATGGTTTATTTTCTTTATTTTGTTCTTGATCAATTGATTGAATTTGACCTCCGCTACCTATCGCATGAGCGGCAGCCTGAACAGCAGCCATAGGATTCGGTTTTTCCTATTAAAAACATAAAAATAGTATTATATTAAAATCAAAATTAACTAATTTCAGACCTGAAACCATTTGATCGGTAGTCCTTCAATATGGACGGTATCCGCTCGCTCGCCGGGTTTTGTTTCATTCATATTTTTTGCTTCACGAAAAAATGTTTCCCAATCTGTGCGACTTGGATATTGTAGTTTAGCCTCAGCTGCACGTAAACGAAATTCTTGTCCAGTTGATATACGTATAACAGAATTGTCTAGACGTATTAGACAACTACGTGCGATTTGTTTTGATTCTAATTCACCTTCAAAACGATATAATTCACCGGCACTTTTAATTAAACGTAAAAATATAAATTCATCGGGCAATATTAATGAACGAATTTTATCCATTATTTCCCACGTGGAAATTGTTTGACCTGGTATACGCATTACAGGCAATGGCATACTGATATTGAGCCGAGCGATAGGTTTCAAATACATTCGCTATAGGAGAAAAAAATAATGTGTGAATATACTATATCTACTTTATTTAACTTGTTTTTCTTACCAGTGGCTCATATAAATCGGAACGTTCGTTTAAATCTTTGCATAACTGCAAATTCGACATTTCTAAAGTGATTTGATCTAAAAATAAAATGAACATATTCGCGATTTATCCTAGTATTACAAATTTAGTTTATTGACTATAAGATAACCGTTTAAAGTTAAACGTCGATTGCTAATTAAAATGATAATCTCTTAAGGAAAGCCATCGTGAGAATTCAGCCAATTGTCTGTTAAAAAAGTCAAGAAAGAAAATTTAATAGTATATTCGACATTTATTTCAAGAATCAGAGAACAATGAATAGGCTAAGCAAGAATATAAAGTCCGAATAGGTTGCATAAAGTATGTATAAAACAGAATGTTACAAAATAAAATGTGAATAATGTCCATAAATCCGTGAGTACGGTATAAACTGTTACAAGGTTTTTAACTAGACTTGGACGAAAACCTGACAGAATAATTGTACTAATAACGATATTTGATTTTTGTTTATATTGTTTGTACATATACCGATAAGGAATAATCAATAGACAGAATAAAATAAACGTAAGCGAAAAAAGATTTTTTGGCACAAGTGATGAGATTGAATAGAGTAAACGTACTGATAAGGCTAATAGACAAAGAAACGCGTTTTGTTTATCTGTTTCGAGTTTTTCAGATGAATTTTCATCCGTTGTTGAAGCTGTATTCATCGTCAATGATGATGTAGTAGATGCCAAGGATAACAATGATGAAAATAAAGATGAACCAGAGTCACTACTATGAGTGACACTGCGATAAGTTTCCATTGGTTCTTCAGGTTGTTGTTCTATTCTCGGTTTTTGCACAGAAATAGGCGTCGTAGGCGTCGTAATATGTGAAGCGGGTGGTTGAGTTTGATTATCATCAGCTTGTCGATAACTTTCGTTCCCTTGTAACCTACGGACACGTGCCAAACGTTCTTCTGCTGTGGCAAGTATTTTATCACGACGTTCTTTCGCTTTTTGATCGATTTTAGTCGATGTAGACATGTTTAATAACAGTAAAAAACAGAAAGAAACGATTTGTCTAAAAATATATAAAAAACTTTTTATATCACAAAATAAACAAAAGTAAATAAGTAGACAACAGTGACAATCAATTTACAAAACAAATACGTGATGAAAATTGCAATTGTTATATACAGACTGATCGAAACGGCTTTTTTTTATAAAAAAGAAGCCGTTAGTTCTTCGTATAGTTCTTTATTCAAATATTACTTTTTTCTCGATGTATCTAAATCTTCCTTTTTGTATGAGACTTCTCGACTAGAAATGCAATGCATGCGGTTTAAAAATAGGCATCATTCGTTCATTAAAAATATCAATTTTATTAATTCATCTGAAATACCGAATAGTAATTGTTTCGCAATCCCTTTTAATATCAGACTTTCTTTTTTTATTACTTCTCCTAGCGTTATCTATTTACAGTCTAAACTTTTAACTAAATCAGTTTTCAGTTCATCACTAAGCGATGTCAGTCTGTATATAAAATATAAGTCTGATTATCTCCCACGTGAAAAAGAAGTTATCTGGATTCAACTGTCTTTTAGTCCACTCAAGTATAGTCGAGAAAAATGTTGGAGAATTCTATACCCAGAATTCAACAAAAACATTAATTGTATTACTTGAGGTGACAAATCGAATATTATAATGGACTACAAGGCAGTGGCGGATCTAGAATTTTTCTTTGGTACGTCTGGTACACGATAAAAGTACGAGGTACATTCGGTCGCCATAGAAAGAATTTTTTCTGAAAAAGTTCTGCTGGGAAATATTTTTTTTGCTCCAGAAGTACGTGCGATCGCACAACGGCCGGATCCGCTACTGCTACAAAGTAAAATGTTTCCTTACAATAGCCGACGAGCTATAAACTGTGAGCTAACTAAAAGTAAAAGAACTTTTCGACTCACGAGTTCTGGTCTTATGCGCAATTGTACAGGATTTTGAAGAAAAATTTTCAATCAGCGGATGAACTATTCAGGATTTTTACGAAATTCAGTAGAAAATCATTATGGTCACTTATCGCACGTTTTTCTACTCAAAAAGTAAAACTTTTGACTTCTCGGATGCAAGTAATTATTAGAGGTATTACTCACGCTACCACCGACAAACCAGTCGGCTAACATCTCTAACTGCGTATTTAGAAAAACCTGTCATGTATTGTTTAAAACACATTATCTAACTTCTAGAATAATGCTGTAGCTAACACTACAGCAGAATTCAAATCTTCAGCTGTCAGCATGCCTATGGACACCAATCATATCTTTCGTTTTTTTTGCATTTACATCTGTAGAATGCATCAGATGGATCCATGTTTTACCAACTTTTCTCGTTACAGATAGTTTAACCATTCAAAAACTTTAAGAGAAAAATACAGGATTTAAGGTAGCAGACGAAAACAGAAGAAAAGAAAAGAATTTCATAAATTTCTTCGTTAATACACCTTCAGTCTCTGAACTAAAATATTTTAAAACTTTCTCAACCAAAAATGCAAACATCCTTTGTTTTTAAGCACCAATCCCGGAAACTAAGAGAAAGAATAATCAAGTAGACATATCCTCGTAATAAATTTAATTTGCGTTATTAATTGATTAACCGATTGTTAGAAGCTGATAGTAAAATATAGAAGAAGTAGTTCGAGGAAATTTTTATTACTTTTAGTTAAAGAAAACGAGCAAGAGTCGTTTGACAGCTATTTGCTATACTAGGTTATCATGTTATGAAAACTCATTGAAATCTAACTGCAAACACCCTGGACATCAAATTTATTTGTATTTTAGACTATTAAAATGAACACGTCACCGGTTGGACCTCATTCCCGTAAAAAAGTCTCTTATTATTATGATTTTGATGTTGGTAATTACTATTATGGCCAAGGGCATCCTATGAAACCACATCGTATACGTATGACACATAATTTAATTCTTAATTATGGTTTATATCGAAAAATGGAAGTTTATGTAAGTATCCATATGATTTCAATTAGATAATTCTTGACATGATGTATTTTTCTCTGTTTTTTCATATAGCGTCCACATAAAGCTAATACGGAAGAAATGACACGTTTTCATAGTGATGAATATGTTAAATTTTTGAATAATATTCGACCGGATAATATTACTGATTTTAATAAACAAATGCAAAGATGTAAGATATGAAATTATTTTGAAATGTAACCAGTCTTATCTTTTCCTTTCTTCGACCCTATTAGTTAACGTTGGTGAAGATTGTCCTGTATTCGAAGGATTATTTGAATTTTGTCAGATATCAGCCGGCGGTTCATTAGGTTTGTAAAATATATTACTTTTTTCTTGTGCTGCTATTAATCGGACGTTTTTTACCATGTAGCTGGTGCTGTTAAATTAAATCGAAAATCAACTGATATTGCTATTAATTGGACTGGTGGTTTACATCACGCTAAAAAATCTGAAGCATCAGGATTTTGCTATGTGAATGATATTGTATTAGCTATATTGGAACTACTCAAGTAAGTAAGATTGAGTGTTCAAAATACGAAGCTGTCAAATCGAAAATTATTAACTTGTTGTACTGAATCTTGAGATACAGGATAAAAAACCGATTACATCTGTTTTTCGTTGAAGATATCATCAACGTGTATTGTACGTTGATATTGACATTCATCATGGTGACGGGGTAGAAGAAGCCTTTTATACAACTGATCGTGTTATGACTGTATCATTTCATAAATTCGGTGAATATTTTCCAGGAACAGGAGATTTAAGGGTAAGTTATTATCTTTCTTAATCGAAATTAAAATCTTGATCTTATAGTTGTTGCTTTTTTCTTGTGAAAAGGATATTGGCGCTGGACGTGGCAAATATTATGCGGTTAATTTTCCATTACGTGATGGAATTGATGATGATTCATACGAAACAATTTTTAGACCGGTAATGAGATTTTCATAAAAGCGACAATGTTGTTACACTTCTTCATTCTGTTTAGGTGATAACGAAAGTAATAGAAGTTTACCAACCAGGAGCGATTGTTTTACAATGCGGCGCTGATTCATTAACAGGCGATCGGTTGGGTTGTTTTAATTTAACACTGAAAGGTAATCAAAATATTCTCGTTTCTTTACATTTCTCTTTATTTCTTATTTATCTCTCTATTTAGGCCATGGTAAATGTGTGGAATTTATTAAAAGTTTTAATTTACCATTGTTAATGCTCGGTGGTGGTGGTTATACGATACGTAATGTAGCGCGTGCGTGGACCCATGAAACAGCTATAGCTTTAAATCAAGAAATACCCAATGGTATATCTTTCGGTCCTCTGTTCTGTTATCTTTTCTGTAGTGCATCATTTTATTTCTCTAATTAGAATTGCCATACAATGATTATTTCGAATATTATGGTCCTGATTTTAAGCTTCATATTAGTCCATCAAATATGCCAAATCAAAATAGTTCTGACTATATGGACAAAATCAAGTACGAGTTTTCTTCTTTTACGATGAGCTGATAATAATATTTGTCCGTTTTAGAGTTAAATTATTTGATAATCTTCGAATGTTACCTCACGTGCCTGGAGTACAAATGCAAGGCAAGTTTTTTCACATATATCTTTAAGTCTTCAAAGTGAAGTGTACAACTATCATCAATCCGACAGCTTTGTAATCGATAACTGTTTTGTACTGTGTGAAAGCACCACGGCATAAATTAAATGTCATTTGTCATTAACGTGTTGATACAGTCCGAGATACACTCTTGAAAAATAATAGTTTTATCTAAACTAAAAATTTTAGCTATACCGGACGATGCTATGGATGTTGACCGTGTTGTCGAGGACAGTAAAGATGGAGACCCCGATAAGGTATATGCTTTTCTTTTATTAAAAACTATTAGAGTCTGACAGTTTTTCTCTGGTTTTAGCGTATTTCACAAGTACAACATGACAGACATATACAGGATGATCGTGAATTATCGGATTCCGAAGATGAAGATGGTGATAATCGTCGAAATCAAATGAACTATAAAGAATCGACGGCAAGAAGAAAAACAACTTCGGAAACAACAAATGGTAGATAGCTGGTTTTGTAAAATTCTAATTAAACTAACATATGAAAAAATTCTGTCTAGGTTCAATCAATGGTGATTCGACAATTGCTACAACTGCAGTTGTAGTAGCACCGATAACGGAAGTAACGACAAATTCACTTGTGATTACAGCTGATAGTACTAATGCATCAGTCACTACGACAACAACTGAAAAAATTCTTACAATATCACCTGAGACAGCAACGATTACAACAACTATACAAGAAGTATCTAAAACGACAACAGTCATGACAGAAGATGCCGATCAAATTCCCGCTGCCATTTCACCAGTATCACGAGATGAAATGGAGACGTCGTCGTCGGAAAAGTAAGTTTGTATCTGCTTTTCTACAAAACAGTTTATGTTTAGAAAACGAGAACATAAATTGTTCTAATTCAGAAAAAAGAGCTTTCAATTTCTGTAAAAGTAAAAGTGAAAACCATTTTAATAAACTGTTTTTTTTCTTCAAAATTTAGTCCTACGAAGCAAGTAGAAGAACGAAGTAAGTTTTTGTATAGCTGATGTTGTCAAAGATGTTCGACTTTTTGCTAGCGCATGTGTATGATCGATAATGTAAACGACTGAAGTAAATCTTTTTGTGCGCAGCAGATATGCATAGCTTGTTTGTATGGTATGAAACTGCATTTTTTTTTGGTTGGTTTGATTGTAAAAGGATGCTTAGTTTTAGAAAACTCAAAATTTCATCTATTTGACCCTCTAGATTATAACTGACACTTTTACGTATTTTTGCTCTGTTTGTAGCGTCTTCTGAACAAACAGCGACCAACAAATCTCCTCAAAATGAAGTTGTCTCCGGTTGAAAACTGAAACAATGCCGTGTGTGACTTTTTTTTATGAACAAAGTCCACATGAAATTGACAAACGACTCCAAAAAGTCGTCGTTCTTGTTCGATTATTAGCTTCTCTTTCTATTTTTCTTTCTTATTTTCTGTTATGGTCATTAGCTCTTTCTTTTGTGAACGTGTGTCTATTTGTTGTTCTATGAGTACGTTCTGTTTCTGTTTCGTTAATGAATATAAGATGAATGTAAAACATTTTTGTACAACACTGTGTGTATTGTATCTTTACAAAAACAAAATGTATGTTTTATTTACTCTAGTTCTTAGAATATGTTGTACAGGTTTATTTTCTGCTTTAAATATGTATGTTTTGAAAAAGACATCAATAAAAAGTACGCCACTTTGCAACGTAAATGCATCTATGTATACTACACAAGAAAGTCATAACAAGAGATTTACTTGCATACTGTTTAAAATCACTTCTAAAATGAATTAAATGACTCTAAAAAAGAACTTCCAGAATTTTTATCGCTCTAAGCTGTTAATTGAGTCCATGTGATACAGGATACTTTTTCATTTTCATTCATTTTAATTGATAAACAAACATGTTCTTAAGTAACTTTGCATCTGACACAATAGATAGCTTGAATAAAAAGCTTGAATAAAAACATAAACATGAAAAAAATGCGCTGACTAGAATCATTGATATTGCAATAATCACGTATTTATTCTTTTGACGGACTTGGCCATTTTCCATCTTTAAGTGCTTGTGTTGGATGCTCATCAGGATCCAAATGTGCTTCGGCCATTACATCTTTGGCATTTTTTGTATCAACAATTTGTTCTAATTTTTTTCCTGCTTTTCCGAGCCCGTGTTCAATATCATGGCCTGATGGAATCCATATCATTTCGGTACCTTCAAACTCTAACAATTCTGGTTCCACTAAAATAAATAAATATGGCAACATTAGTAATTAATGCATGCTTAAAAGGATATTCTAAAACCGAACCAGGTATCCAAGCATGATCATCAAATATTTCTTGAATTTCTTCGGGATATTTAACTTTATCTTTTGATGGCAAGCCAACACCTTGTGTTTGTTTCTTGTGAGGGTTTTTAACAGTAACAATAAATGAGTCTTCTTTTTGAATATTGAACGCCTTTTGGACTTCACCTGTTAACAAACGAAAAACAATATCAGTGAGTATATTCTTAAACAAGTAGAAAGTACTTTCATAGAAAGCAATAGTATATAGAAAGCTTTTGTCCGAAAAATAAGAAATCATTTTATTGTAGTCATAAAAGTTTGCTGATATTGTGAAATTTATGTAAAAACTATTAACCTAGTTCTTCTGGACTTTCTAGAACATACGCAATATGTGAATGATCTTCATGTTTAATAATGGCGTATTTTCCTAGAAATAAAGTCATACATGTTTTAAAAATATCTGTATTTTGTGTCAGCAAACATTACCTTCTCCTGCCATACGATCAGCTTTCACGTGTCTTGTTCCTTTCGTTTTTGTTTCATATGTTTCTTGTTCAAGGGCGCTCTCAGCTATTTCTTCAACATCATCCGCTGTTTTTTGAACAAATGCCCAATGACGATCTCGTTTTGATTTTGGTAATTTCTTTTTGGCTATAATTAGCAAACGTTTTGTTGTTACTTGACCATCAGGTATCATCATCAAATGAAAACGTTGTACTTCATCTAAATTTGATGCTTCATCAACATCGACTTTTGGCTTATACATAAAAAATAAACTGCCTGTTTCTACTATTTTTGTCGATGAAGTTTTTTCATGAGCGGTGCCATTCGCTTTATCTGACCGTGCTTGTTTAGCCGGAATATCCGAATCATCATCATGGTTTGGACCATGTTTTTGAGCTGATTTTCTCTCAACACTCGATGACATACTAATTTCTTCTGAACAATAGTTAAAAGGAAGTGAGGACGATCGATTCTAAAACAAATGAGTTTTGTTATCCACTAAATGTCAACATTTTTTTGCCCTAACATAAAGAATAAACAGAAATCAATTTCTGTTGTAAGTTTAGTGAAGAATAACACTTCAAACAAACTTTACTCAAAATCAAAAAGTTTTCCTAATTTTCTGATTCTAGACGCATTTTAAAGCCCACATTAAAAGTAAAAATGATATGCGTGCTGAGGTTCTAATATAGTAATGTATTATAGAGAAAAGGATGATCACAGACTATCAAAAAGATATGTTGATTGACTAGATACAAAGCAAAGAGCTGCTTTATGCTCACATCAAGGATCGTTTCAGCAAGCCACCGTCTTGACTCAGCCAAATTTAAGTGTAACTTAAATCTTCATTTTATCTGGACGGAGACGTAACTCATTTCCCAGTGTTTTACGAATATTCTTAAGTCAGTGTCTTTAACCAAGACAGGTCTCAAGTTCTCGGTTAACTTAAAACAGCAAGAGAATCAACTTAAGTCTTATCCCTAGGACTGAATTTAAATGTAAATAAAACTGGATTAACCGACGTTTGAGCGATCCCTTCTACAACAATACTTGTTCTACATTCTGCCACAATTCTGAACAAAGCGTCAAATGTCGATTGACAATAAAAGGACATTGATTTAATTGTAAATCCTATTCTGTAACGAAGCGGACAAATTGAGAATCGGTTTCTAGCTTTCTACTTGTTTCCTCTTATTCTTTTGTGATGGAAAATGTTTAATTGATTGGCTACAAGAAATGTATAGAACCATTTGTCACAATGTATAATAGATGAATGCACCATGTTTTACTCCGATTTCTCTTCGAGAACATTTAAAGCACTGCAGTACACAGCAGTTTTCGAAGTTATCAAACACTAACCATGAATTATCTCAAAACTTGTACAAACTTTGCTTATCACAAGATTGAAAGTTTTTATTGTCTTTCTTACAGCTTTCATGCCTGCTTCCACGAAAAGAATCCGATCTGAGATTTAGGCAGGTTTTCTCACCCATATATTCTTCAGTTTTGGTTCGACATGTGACTGAACACTACCGCTAATATCAGTTCGTTAGTAGAGCCATTCAAACATTCTATGAATAAGACGAAATGGCTTGCGCCCAATCCTCACAAGACCGAGCTGATACTAGCTGCGTCCTGGAAGTCACCAAAGGCAAAGCGAATTTACACCGAAGATACCCATGATTGTAATAACATCATTCCTCTTTTACATTTTCTGAGAAAGAACACCAGTTCTAGGCTCTGGGGGATTAAAAACAACTAAACAGTTGTGAGGAAAGAAATTTTATATCTCCCAACTTCCTCGTTTTGTCTAAAACTGTTATGCGCTTACCCTGAGAATCGCACTACCTTTTTGATGTAATTCTGTTTTGAAAAAGTAGGAAAGAGCAAATATAAACTACCAAAAATAGAATTTTAGTGTAAAGCGCTTGATCTTCTTCTTTTTAATGTCGCATACAGAAATCTATATGTGGGACATAGGGCGCATCTTATCGTAGATATAAAGAAGATACGCTAAGGCTCTAATGACAGTAAAAATGATCTCTACGCTATGTTAAAAACTTAAAACTGCTATGTATACAACGCCCACGCTGGCTGGTCACAAAAATACAGACAGTTTCGTTAACCACATGTGTAGAGTATGTACACAGTATAAATATCCATGCTGAAAGGAAGGGACAACGAACATTGTTTAGATACGCGTACAAAAGAGACTATATAGAATACGTCTTAAAGCATCTCTTCTAATTATACAGACAACGGACCATACAGATTATTTCCGTTATTTTCCTACTTCTTAAAATAATTAAGATCGTGGTTCGTGCACAGTAATCTCAGACAAAGCGAGAAAGTTAAGGGATATAAACTTTCTTGTCATAAAGAGTTGAATTGTTTAGTTGCTTTTAACCGGTTTTGGCTCTCAGAACACAGTTTTATGAGACAGAAGTTCTGTCTTATAGAATATATCAAAGCCAAGGACTTCCCTCTATGTATAGGCTCTATACACGGACTGTAAAATTGCTGCGTGCTGATTTTAAGCTTAATCTTTAACTGAGCCTGAAATGAGTGAATTAATTGCATCCTGTTTCTGAAGAGAAAACTGAGTAAAAGTGAAAAGTACTTAGACCATAGTGATCACTCCCTGTGCAAAATTCAGTTGATGAGTCGTTACCCTAGAGGATGTCCAGTTTGTCTAGTCAGATACCTGTAAGTAAAAAGTCCTTGCCTGTTTTCCTGGTCAGGACCTGTTTTTCGCCTGATTAGTGGGAGAAATGAAGACCGCGAGCTTGTTGTATATATGCAAAATTAGGTGTTAATCGCTCATACTGCGCAAAAATCAGTAAAACCCAGAAAGTTTTCTGGAGATCTTCCAATGTAACCATCAGACTCGGAATGCCGTTAGATGTCTCTTGTTCAGCACAGAAATCTCTAAGACATTACTCATCACCTATGAGAATAAATTTGAAATTTTTCGAAGAATTAGTGGTCAGTATATACTACGTGACTTAGCAAAACAAAACGGATTATGAAAAATAAACCTAGTTCTGATCTTGAACCTGACCAATGTCTGTTTCTCAGACCAAGATCATACAAAAAAAGTCAAGATCAGACCGAGTTGCCAGATACTTAGGTCAGAAAAGAGGAATAAAAAGGTGAAAAAGCGGAAACGCATTTTTCACCAAACACAAAGAGGTATCAACTTTTTTTTTCTAGCACTCGCTGTATGGCGGTTCCACTTAAGAAACACAAAAGAAGTACAAAGCATCATTTAAATCCCAATCTGAATCGATATTGGCTTTTGGTGGATGCACGTTTTTGATCAGCCACCATAAATTTCAAGTTATGTATGGCAGGATAAAATTTAATTCGAAACTTCCCTGCCTACAACAGCACTTAATGGTTAAGATTTCTGACCGAGTTGCCTTCCTTGAAGATTTGGCATTTCACTATTTTTCACACTCCCTTTCAGCAACACTTGAGACAAGCTAATGTTTTTCTGTTACCGCTCACTTCCGGAACAAATTTCTGATTTAGTTCCTAAAATAGTACGCATCTGTTTTATAAAGTTGCAAAAGCATTGTTTTGACAGATCATTCAGCTGCCGAAGGCGGCAAACTTTTTATGAGAAAATAAAACGTAAAAGTCTTCATTGCAGGAAAAAGAAAAAAAACAACAAATCCTCGAAAAGCAGACAAATTGCGGAAAAAACTACAGAAAGCGGAATTTGGTTCATTCTCTATGGTGCTATATGCGTTTGTTTTAACCAAATTCTGTCCACACTAACTCCACAACATGACTGAGTAATTGACGAATAGTTTCTAAACATGGTGGGAGTAGCATCCCAACTATTTCAAGAGAAGTTTTTCATAGAGGAAGCGTTCTTAAAACTTCTTTCACAGAATCTGCAACAGATATGTACATTTTGAGGAAATCTGTTTCACGCCTGATCGCAATCTGACAAAGTTTCTGGCAAATGCGGTGCCAGACGATTTTTGCTGCGCATCATCGTTTTTCTCGGCACATCATTTATAAGTTGTTTGATTCCATTTAAGAATATATTCAACAATTCGCACACGTGCAATTCCTTCTCAGTTAATTGTCGATCGTATTAGATATCTACATGTCTGTATCGTTTTTTATTCTTGATGAAAGCATACATGCGTGAGTAAGACGTCGAATTTTAGACCATGTATATCGCCTGTATTTTCTCAACAAATAGAAAATTATATCAGTTTTTGACTGATAACAATAAAATCGATATCATCCAATAAAAATTCCGTGACTATTCTTGAATTGACAAAAATTTCAGCCTCTAAATTGTCATGTAATAAGGAATATCGATTTCATCGTTAGAAATGTCGTCGTTAAATGTTTTGGTACTTCTCATGTTCCTTTTTTTTCAATCTATCAGCGATTGCACACGAGCTGAGCGCTTATAACCTGCATGAGTTTAGGAGTTGTTTGTTTTCACGATACAAACATAAGTATTATTAACAACAGCAACAATAACAATGCGTTCGTCAATATCGTTCAATACCATTAGAATAGATACTCTTCCATGGAAAGATGCTCTGAAAGCGAGATTAAACCGACATCATCCATAACAAATTAAAATAAACTCACAATTTTCGTTCAAATAGCAAAATTGACTTTGAACAACAAAGATGGACGGGATGAGTTTTTTCAGCGTCACGTTCCTTCAGACAGTTTCAGAAACATATCCCGTCCAACTATTAAAAAATCTTATCGTTTCAACAGCAGTGTTAAGGGTACCCCTCCCCTCTTTTTGGGCTTTCCATAGAAATGCTGTGAAATAAAAACTAAAAGTCGCTAGGGCTTCGCATTTTCAGAACTGATCGGAAACTCAATGGAGCACTTTTTCGTTCTTGTTTCAAGTTTTCAAGTATTACCGTTCACCAGTTTTT